GATTTATAAAGCCTATATCTTAAAATTCTAAACCCTAAAAAATGTTTTGACACCTAAAACCCCCTAAACACTCAAAACTAAATTCTAATAGAACATAATTAACCCAAACATAAATAATATAAAGAAAAAATAATTTTGAAAAAGTGGTATTTTTGTAAAGATTTCAAAAGTATGGCATTTTTGTAAAGTGGCATTTGAAAAGTGGCATTTTTTGAAATTTCTCAACCAACAACAATGGGAAGAACAAAAAAAACAACTTAAAAATGTGGAAAAATCTTAATGTACTCTGAATAACTAAATAATACTTTTTTTTTATTTTGTTTAACATAGAAATATCACATGATTCATAACTTTTGCTCGTGTTAATTTTAGATACTTTTGTTGATGAGGGGAATAAAAAGTTCAAACAGCAAACCCACGTTCACAAAGTTTATTAGAATTTGGAAAAATATTACAAAACAACTCAAAGAAAACCCGTTTAAAACATACAAGCATCATAAAGATAAAACAAACTCACTGATCAAGTGTCTTGATATAATTAATCATGTTTTCACACGATTTTATTATTTCAATGCTTATGGATTCAATAAACTAGCCATATATTGGTGAAGGGTCCAATGGAGGAGATTTCTCGCTGAAGAAGCGAGCAAGTACCTTGTTTTCAAGAACCGTTAAAGTTTCGCTAGATTTTATGGCTAAAAACATGTACATTGGAAGGTTTTTAAGAAGTTCTTAAAGGTTGTTAAGTTAAAAAAATAAAGAAAAAATGCTAAATAAGTTTAGAATCAGTTTTTAAATTAGAGATTATAGATTCCTTAAGAACTCCTGACGTGTCAATTGTTGGTTGGTTGAACTAATTTTGATTAAAAAAAAAGAGGAAAAAAACAGATATGTATCGCCTCTTTCTTCCCGACTCTTTCTCTCATCCAAACTCTTTCTCTCTAGGCGATTTCGACGAAGCGATCCATCATCTCCGATTAACGGTGAAATCGCTTCCGATTCGTTGTATGTGTTCCGATTAACGACGAATCGGAGCTGGGAACAACGATCGATTTAGGGGTTTTCTCCGATCTAGGGTTCTTTGAAGCTTTTTGGGTTTAGGGGTTTTGTCCGATCTTCTCCAATCGATCTCTCTGGATCTTTGTTGACAACAACAACGACGATTCTTTTGGGTTTTGGGGTTGTATCGAGTCCGATTCGTCTGGGTTTTGGGTTTTGGGTTCTCATCTTCTTCTTCTCAATCTCGCTTCTTTCAATCAAATTCAAGGGTTCGTTTGGATCCAAATCAAGTAAAGAAGCTGTTTGTGAATACTAAGAAGCTGCTATTCTCGTGTATATTTATTGGGATGTTGATCGTGATATTAGGGAGGGGATTCGTGACGAACCTGATGAAGGTACACTTTTGAATTTTTTCTTTTGAATTTCTTCCATTCATCTTGATATTGTGTTCTATGTTATCACTTTTTAAGCTTTACTGTATGGAAAACTATCTCTCAAAGTAACAGCTACTCTCAAGTTAGAGTGATTTAATCGAGTATTCGTGGCATTAGCGTGATGATTCTACTCAATTTAAACCCAAACTGATATTTAAAAACAAATTTATGTATACTCAATTGATGGCTACTTACTTCGTTTGAGTGAAATGATTAACTAGTTGTTCCTTGCATCATTATACACATCTCTCTTGTGTGCAAAACATAGGAAACTAGATTATAATTAGTGAAGCTGTTTTGTTGGCGCAGAGGGATAATAACAGATGTACTAGGCGGAGATATTCAGTTTGATTTCTATCATCGATGGTTTGATGCAATCTCTGTCAAAACACCTAATTATGGTTTCACATGACTCTCTGTCTAGCTGTTTAGAAACTGGACTCAGTTAAAGAAGTGATTATAATTTTTTCCTTTGATGATGTTTCTCTCTTTTGTTTGTTCAGGTTAATTGGAGACAGTGCAACAGATGGTAGAGAGAGCAAAGGGTGGACTTGATGACAAATCAATTGCTACAATCGAATCTGCTTCCATTTTGACCAATGCAAGAAGGTAAACATCCTCTTTAATCTCTTATTACATCGTTGATGGTTTGTTTGTGATAGTTGCATAGTAGGTAAAGAATTAACTATATGAGTGATTGCTTCTTGACTTTCCTTCATGTTTTATAAATGCTTCTTAGTTTTAGATTAGGACTGGTATGAAGTTTATCTTTATGTACATCATCTTAAATATCTGTCAGTTTGATGAATGCTTGTTAAAGACTTTAGGTAATTCTTATTTAATGTCAGTGTGATGAATACTTAGTTTTAGGTTAGGTAAAGACATAATATTGAATGCTTAACATAATAACCAGAACTTGTTGTGTTCTACTTAAACACGAAACTTAGGATAACCAAACCATTATTTCATCAGAGACATGATACGGAACTGATTTCCAGTAACTTCTTATGACAATTCTTGTAATAAACATAATAAGGCTTCAAAATCTATAAATTATATTTTTCTGAATTTGTCCCCTTTATTTTATGCCTTGATGAATATATGTGAAGTTGAAGGCTGAGTTAATTATGTCATTGATTGCTTATTGAGTCATTGCTGTCTATAAATGGTTGTTAGTCTACATCATCCTTAATGATTGTCACTATTTAAACCTGAACACACTTGAACCACTTGTTATATATTAAACTCTCCACCA